CCTTTGATTTTCCCTGACTTTAAGCCTTTAGATATATCAAAGGACTCCTTTGTCAATTTACAACGTAATTGCCCTTCTCTTCAGAATTGCCATAATGCCGCTAAACAAAATCAAGTTATCCAAAGGAAAAACTTTTCATATAAATTTGAATATATAAAAGGTATCTTGTACAAGTCAGTATTCAAATTAAATTCAGATGAGATAGACTATTCCATCTTAGTTATTCCAAGTCAATGCAGAGAGACTGTTCTTAAAATGGCTCATGACCTGCCAGTGGCCGGACATTTCTCACATCGTAAAACCTTGAATAAAATTAGGGAAACCTATTTTTGGCCCAAAATGTCCTCAGATGTCACTACCTATTGTAGATCATGTAAAGTTTGCCAACTGTCATCCTCCCGAGGTACCCGGCAAGTACTTATGGTCAAGATGCCAATCTTTTTGTACCGTTTGAAAGAGTAGCTATTGACATCGTTGGTCCTTTATCACCACTTTCATCTGGGGGACATAGATATATTTTAACATTAGTTTTTTATGCTTTAAGTTTCCCTGAAGCCGTACTCTTAAAGTCCATAACTACTCCATCTTCTCCAGAGTGGGCATCCCTAGAGAAATTTTGTCTGACCGTGGGACACAATTCACATCTGAATTAATGCAACATCTCTACCAACTTCTGGGAGTGAAGCCTCTCTTCACCACACCCTATCATCCCAGCTGTAATGGGAGGATTGAGCGCCAGCATTCGGTTCTCAAGTCCATTTTAAGGAAACTTTGCTCCCTTAAACCTAAGGAGTGGCATCGTTACCTACCCTGTGCTTTGTTTGCCATGAGGGAAGTTCCCAGTGACTCTTTGGGGTTTTCACCTTTTGAACTTCTCTATGGTAGACAGGCCAGAGGTCCATTGTCCATCCTTCATGACTTATGGACTAATGAGGAGGTAAATGCTGAGGTTCAGTCTTCTTATCAGTTTCTCCTTGACCTTAAATCCAAACTTGAGGAGACCTCTGACATAGTTTCGAAAAACTTAAGCTTGTCAATGGACCAGTACAAAACCCATTTTGATACCAAAAGTCAGGAGAAGTTTTAAAGTAGGAGATGAAGTTCTGGTATTTTTATCAATAAAGTCAGATAAATTATTAGTAGCATGGAAAGGTCCGTATAAGGTATTGAAAATTTGTGGGAAAGTTGACTACCTCATAGAAGTCAAGGGAAAGCCTAAGCTTTATCATATCAACATCCTTAAGAAATATTACCGAAGAAATTCGGTTAACTGCCTGAATAACTTTGACTTAGTTTTTCCACACGAACTTGATAAGACAACTGAAGAATGTAAGGTGTGCGTAATTGACACCTCTAACTTAGACTATGATGAACTACATGACTTGGTGACTCTTGACAACTCTGGTTCAACAAACATTAATATCAATGAGTCTTTGGATGACCATAAAAAACATGAACTACTTCAATGTGCGAGTAACTTCTCAGATGTTTTTACCTCCACGGTAGTCCATAAGATTGATTTAGTGACGGACAATCCTATCAAACGGAAATTATACCCAGTTCCAGTTCACCTTAGGGATGCATTTGACCGAGAGGTAGACAGATTATTAAAACTAAAGATAATTGAACCTTCAGTATCTGCATATTGCTCACCAGTAGTCATGGTTAAGAAGGAAGACAATTCATATAGACTTGCTATTGACTTCAGAGGACATAATGCTATAACTTGGTGGGATGCTGAGTCTATGCCCTTAATAGATAGCGATCTACACAAATTTTATGATATTGCACAAGCATATCATCAAGTAATGTTAGATCCTTCTTCTAAGCAGTACACAGCTTTTCCTACACACCAAGGACTGATGCAGTATAGAACTATGCTCTTCGGTTTGGTAACTGCCTGTGCTACCTACGTGAGACTGTTGAGAAAGGTCTTGGGTAATATGCCAAATGTTTCAGTTTATTTTGATAACTTTTACGTAATGACATCCACGTGGGGCGAACATATCCAAACATTAACATCAGTTTTGGGTAGGTTACGCTCACAGGGCCTCACTGCTAAGCCGAAGAAATGCTGCCTTGGGTATAACAAGATTAGATATCTCGGACTGATTCTTTTTAATAACACTTTGCAGCCTCTCCCCAGTAAGATCAAAGCTTTATTAGAGTTCCCCAAAACCAAGAAGCTCATGTGTAGCTTTCTTGGTTCTGTAAATTTTTATGCACAGTTTATCCCCAACATTACCGATCTTACGGGCATCTTATCCGACTACCTTAAAAAGTCTCTGAAGGAGAGGTAGCTCGAGGAAAGTTTAATGAACGGCTTATATTAAAAAGCCGTTTTGTTTAAGAACTGATGCCTCCAATACCAGCCTAGGTACAGTGTTACTACAGTATCATGATGGTATACCCTTTCCTGTATGCTTCCTAAGCCGGAAACTTCTTCCTGCAGAAACGAGATACTCCACCATAAAAAAGGAATGTTTGGCCCTTGTGTGGGGTATCTCCAAACTTAAATTTTATTTACTGGGAAAAGAATTAATTTTAGAGACGGATCACAAACCTTTGATATGCCTACAAAATTTTAAGGGAACCAACAGTCGCCTCTTGAGGTGGACATTGGCACTCCAGGCTTTTAAGTTCCATATTGTGTATATCAATGGTTCATCCAATTATTTCTCTGACTGGTTAAGTCATGACGCGACTTTCCCGGTTTAGAACTTTTTTCTCATCTATTCTTCTTATACTCCTTGATTATAAGTCTTGGTATGGGGGAGTGTGAGGGAAAAGTTCAACAGATAGGAGTAGTGAGCGAGTATATGGTGACGATAGTTTGATTGCCAGTCTGCTTGTTAAGGTAGGATCCGTGTCTAGCTCCCACTATCCCCCCCCCCTTTTTTTCCACGGGGAAAGATGACGTGTGGGGCTCCGAGCAAATGGATAATCACTTGACTCACAGCTCCCAACACAACTATAAGTAAAAGCCTCTGCTCCTATTTTAGTGGATATATTGTTTGAAAGCTTCACTTTTAACCAATCCTAAGACTTAGTTCATACTGCCTTGATTTTCGTGTTTTGCTTTAAATCCTCACCATTCTTTTAAGTGCCTTACACTTATCATGGAAAGTGATTTATCGAGCAGCGGTTAACTTCTGTCTCTTTCTAGCTTGGAATGTCAGCTTGGGGTCATCTGGCAACTACAGAAACAGTGTTAAATGAGACGAACTTCACATGAGTTCTGGGACGTCACCTTTTTATCTACATACCTGAGTGTAGCCAACCCCAGGCAACTACCCCTCACCTTTGCAGTGGTGAAAGACCTGCGTTCCTATCATCTTGACAGATTATCCAATGCTAGAGACTCTGTGATGAACTAGTCGTTGGGTTGTCACTCAACAGCTGTGACCCCCCCACATCCTCAGCATTGGCTACAATTTCTACAAGATGCAGTGTCAACATCAACCAGACACCACAGTCTAACTGTACATATTAGCGTTGAATTCAAATATCATTTTTATATTTCATTTTTCATTTCTCTTTCACGTAGTATAAAAGTTCATATTTAAATGTTTTATATTATTAATTATAACAATAAAGTGTTTATTTGTATGTTATTATTCTTTTTCTATTCATTAATTTTCCTAAGGAGGAGCCAGCCTTGGTAAGACTTACTTAAGATCCTACAGGGTTGAGTAAGTCTTCACAGTAGGGAAAGTAGAGGATTCGATGGATTTGTTAAAGAGTGTTGCAGTGATTGGTGACAGCACTTGTGAAGCTTTTTTGTATATAAAGGATGGAAAGGTATTTAAATCTCCTGTTTTGTTCTTTAGTGTGTTGATAATAAGTGAGACTTGTGTTGGGTTAGTCGGAGCTAGGAACAGTGTGTTCGGGTAGGTGCCAGTGAGGTAGTCATTTGGTGGGGTATTTGAGCTTGGGATTTTACCTGCAAGGTTTTTTCCTATGGTGGAGAAGAAAACCAATATTGAGTCTGTTTGCCGTTTCATTAGATGGGAGTAGGGGTTCATCTGGTTTTGTTAGTGTGATTGTTCTGTTTCCTGATATCATTTTTGTTTCTATGATTTCAGACAGGGTTTTCCAGGTCTTTTTTATATCACATTTTAAGTTTAATAATCTGTTCTCATAATACAATTTTTTCCCTTCTTATCAGGCTGATTATGATAGATGAGTAACGTTTTGTTGGATCTCTGGTTATGTGACCCATTCTGTACTGTTTTTCATACTGGTGCTTTATGCTTATGGATCTGAGGATGCTGGGTGTTAGCCAGGGACTGTTCAGTCTCTTAGCTGTGATCTGTTCGGTTTTTTAGGGCAGTGCTTCTTATAGAAGTATTAGGTCTTTTTTTACAAAATTATTAATACATTCGTCAGTATCTGTATAGATTTCTAGCTCAGTGTGCCAGTCAATGTTTGTCATTGCTGTTGTGAAGTTATTAATGGCTGTCTCATTATGAAGTCTGAAGGTAACTTTAGTAGTGTCTTGGGGTAATTTACCTAGATTGGTTATGAGAAAGGTAGGGTAGTGGTCTGTGGTATTATCTGTGATTATGCCTGATTTTAAAAGGGATATGGTGTTGGTCCAGATGCGGTCTAATAGAGAAACACTAGTCTCTGTAATTCTTGTAGGTTTTGTTACTGTTGGTAGCAACAAGCAGTTATTCATAGTACATACAGAAAGCCCCTAGTTACGCAGAGCATTTCAGGCAAGTTAGGTAAATTTTGTTGCAGGATGCGACCCACACCAGTCGACTATCACCCAGGTACCTACTTTACTAACAGGTGAACATGGACAGCAGGTGTCTTAAGGAAACACGTTCTAATGTTTCCAGCTGTACCAGGGATCGACCCCCAGACCTTAGTGTGTGAACTGAGTGTGCTAAGAATTAATCTACAGGGTACCTTCTCTCATAGACTACTTCAGCTACTCACAATAATTTTTTTTTTTTGCAAAGAAATGTGTTCTAATCTCTATTTTTTTTCAGGCGGCTCTTAACATGTTGACAAAGGCATTGGCAATGGAATATGGGAAAGAAGGCATCTTGTTCGTGGCCATCCATCCAGGATGGGTGAGGACTGACATGGGAACATCTGCAGCACCACTCAATGTTGAAGAAAGTATCAGTGATGTCTTGAAGACTCTGAGTAACTTGACAGAGGACCACAGTGGTCTACTCATCTCTAATACTGGTGACATCATACCTTGGTAATTTACTCTATTTTCACTTAAAAGTTGACTTATGAAAAATCTTGAGTCATTATATATGTTTTTCCAGAGACAGAAATCCTCTAACATTTTATATCATGAATATCATACATATTATTTATAGCACGGAAAAAAAACTATTTACTGTGAAAAACAGGAATATCATTCATAATGTCCCCTCAAGGAAGGTTCCTTGATGTTGGTGAGGGGCTCTTGATTTAGGGAATTGGATCTGTGCTCCAGTTCCCCGAATTAAGCCTGAATGCCTTCCACATCCCCCCCCCCCAGGCGCTGTATAATCTTCCGGGTTTAGCGCTTCCCCCTTGATTATAATTATAATAATAACATTCATAATGTAAATTTTTTTTATTACATTTTGCTATGGTATCTGTTATATTTTAAGCAAATAAGAAACTTTATATGATTAAGAAGGTATTCCAGACCAACCCAGGCAAACCTGACCTGACCTGACCTGACCTGACCTGACCTGACCTAACCTAACCTAACCTAACCTAACATAACATAACCCCACATAACATAACCCCACATAACGTAACGTAACGTAACGTAACGTAACGTAACCTAACCAAACATAACCTAAGCTAGCCTAACCTAACGTAACCTAACATAACCTAACGTAACCTAATACGGTGACCAGAACTGAGCAGCATAGTCTAAATGAGACCTAACCAAGGTTATATAGAGTTGAAGAACAACCTGAGGACTTCTATTATCTAGAAGTATAAATAATAGAAGTCCTCAGGTTGTTCTTCAACTCTATACATCCTTGGTTAGGCCTCATTTAGACTATGCTGCTCAGTTTTGGTCACCGTATTACAGAATGGATATAAATGCTCTGGAAAACGTACAAAGGAGGATGACAAAGATGATCCCATGTATCAGAAATCTTCCCTATGAGGACAGACTGAAACCCTGAATCTGCACTCTCTCGAAAGGCGTAGAATTAGGAGGGATTTGATCTAGGTGTATAAATGGAAAACAGGAATAAATAAAGGGGATGTAAATAGTGTGCTGAAAATTTCCAGCCAAGACAGGACTCGCAGCAATGGTTTCAAGTTGGAAAAATTCAGATTCAGGAAGGATATAGGAAAGTACTGGTTTGGTAATAGAGTTGTGGATGAGTGGAACAAACTCCCGAGTACAGTTATTCAGGCTAAAACGTTGTGTAGTTTTAAAAATAGGTTAGATAAATACATGAGTGAGTGAGGGTGGGTGTGAGTTGGACCTGACTAGCTTGTGCTGCTGGGTCTGGTACAGTGCTCCATCCTTGAGTGGGGATGACCAGACTGGGTGGGTCATTGGGATAATCCGGGGGGGTCATTGGTCTAATCCGGGAATGGGGGGACATGGACCTGCTCCGCATGGGTCAGTAGGCCTGTTGCAGTGTTCCTTCTTTCTTATGTACTTATGTTCTAACGTAACGTAACCTAACCTAACCTAACCTAATCTAACTTAACCTAACCTAACATAGTATCCTAGAACATCCCAAGCAAACCTAACCTAACCAAAACTAACTACAAAAGTCGGTTATGTTAGTTAGGTAACTTGAGTTTAGTTTATATTCAAAATATATCTCATACTCACTAAATATCCTGGAGTTTACCTGGAGAGGGTTTCGGGGGTCAACGCCCCCGCGACTCGGTCTGACTCCAGGCCTCATGGTGGATCAGGCACTGATCAACCAGGATGTTACTGCTGGCCGCACGTAAACTGAAGTACGACCTACAGCCCGGCTGGTCAGGTACTGACCTTAGGTGCTTGTCCAGTGCCTGCTTGAAGACAGCCAGGGGTCTATTGGTAATCCCCCTTATGAATGCTGGGAGGTAGTTGAACAGTCTTGGGCCTCTGACACTTGTTGTGTTGTCTCTTAATGTACTCGTGTGCTGATCACCATGTTATAGTTTGTGCTGGGTAACTAACATCGTTGCTCTCCATGTTTACACATTTAATGTTTTTAAATCATCACTGTTGTAGTTTTGTCTGGTTAAAATACAGGAATTAAATGAACATCGTAATTATTTAAGACACTGACCTGGTAACACTGCTGCAATTACGTTATATCAAAGAAAATGTTTATATAATTAACTCAATAACGTTTGTCTTTCATCTTCAATATAATGTGTCACAGGATATATACCATGAGAAGATAATTTCTCTCATGGTAACATGACTCACTAAATTGTTATAACACGATTAACATAAACCACAGAACGGGTGGGGTTTAAAATCCATGGCGAGTGCTGTGGCACTGGTCAGGAGGTTCAGAACTCACTCGTCATGGCTTCAGAACCCCAACCTCGCCATGGTTCCCTCATGGTCCCCACCCTCGCCATGGTTCCCTCATGGTCCCCACCCTCGCCATGGTTCCCTCATGGTCCCCACCCTCGCCATGGTTCCCTCATGGTCCCCCACCCTCGCCATGGTTCCCTCATGGTCCCCACCCTCGCCATGGTTCCCTCATGGTCCCCACCCTCGCCATGGTTTCCCTCATGGTCCCACCCTCGCCATGGTTCCTCATGGTCCCCACCCTCGCCATGGTTCCCTCATGGTCCCCACCCTCGCCATGGTTCCCTCATGGTCCCCACCCTCGCCATGGTTCCCTCATGGTCCCCACCCTCGCCATGGTTCCCTCATGTCCCCACCCTCGCCATGGTTCCCTCATGGTCCCACCCTCGCCATGGTTCCCTCATGGTCCCCACCCTCACCATGGTTCCCTCATGGTCCCCACCCTCACCATGGTTCCCTCATGGTCCCCACCCTCACCATGGTTCCCTCATGGTCCCCACCCTCGCCATGGTTCCCTCATGGTCCCCACCCTCGCCATGGTTCCCTCATGTCCCCACCCTCGCCATGGTTCCCTCATGTCCCCACCCTCGCCATGGTTCCCTCATGGTCCCCACCCTCGCCATGGTTCCCTCATGGTCCCCACCCTCGCCATGGTTCCCTCATGGTCCCCAACCTCGCCATGGTTCCCTCATGGTCCCCACCCTCGCCATGGTTCCCTCATGGTCCCTACCCTCGCCATGGTTCCCTCATGGTCCCCACCCTCGCCATGGTTCCCTCATGGTCCCCACCCTCGCCATGGTTCCCTCATGGTCCCCACCCTCGCCATGGTTCCCTCATGGTCCCCACCCTGGCCATGGTTCCCTCATGGTATATACGCAGGTAATACACTATTATCCCTATTTTACGACTAAAAGTATTCTTGTATTGTGTTAAGAATGTTAGTGAACATTCTTAGTGAGGCTCGTGTAGTTCACAGTGAACATTCTTAGTGACGCTCGTGTAGTTCACAGTGAACATTCTTAGTGAGGCTCGTGTAGTTCACAGTGAACATTTTTAGTGAGGCTCGTGTAGTTCACAGTGAACATTCTTAGTGACGCTCGTGTAGTTCACAGTTAACATCCTCAGTGAGGCTCGTGTAGTTCACAGTGAACATTCTTAGTGACGCTCGTGTAGTTCACAGTGAACATTCTTAGTGAGGCTCGTGTAGTTCACAGTGAACATTCTTAGTGAGGCTCGTGTAGTTCACAGTGAACATTTTTAGTGACGCTCGTGTAGTTCACAGTGAACATTCTTAGTGACGCTCGTGTAGTTCACAGTGAACATTCTTAGTGACGCTCGTGTAGTTCACAGTGAACATTCTTAGTGAGGCTCGTGTAGTTCACAGTGAACATTTTTAGTGACGCTCGTGTAGTTCACAGTGAACATTCTTAGTGACGCTCGTGTAGTTCACAGTGAACATTCTTAGTGACGCTCGTGTAGTTCACAGTGAACATTCTTAGTGAGGCTCGTGTAGTTCACAGTGAACATTTTTAGTGACGCTCGTGTAGTTCACAGTGAACATTCTTAGTGACGCTCGTGTAGTTCACAGTGAACATTCTTAGTGACGCTCGTGTAGTTCACAGTGAACATTCTTAGTGAGGCTCGTGTAGTTCACAGTGAACATTTTTAGTGACGCTCGTGTAGTTCACAGTGAACATTCTTAGTGACGCTCGTGTAGTTCACAGTGAACATTCTTAGTGACGCTCGTGTAGTTCACAGTGAACATTCTTAGTGAGGCTCGTGTAGTTCACAGTGAACATTTTTAGTGACGCTCGTGTAGTTCACAGTGAACATTCTTAGTGACGCTCGTGTAGTTCACAGTGAACATTCTTAGTGAGGCTCGTGTAGTTCACAGTGAACATTCTTAGTGACGCTCGTGTAGTTCACAGTGAACATTCTTAGTGACGCTCGTGTAGTTCACAGTGAACATTCTTAGTGAGGCTCGTGTAGTTCACAGTGAACATTCTTAGTGACGCTCGTGTAGTTCACAGTGAACATTCTTAGTGAGGCTCGTGTAGTTCACAGTGAACATTTTTAGTGACGCTCGTGTAGTTCACAGTGAACATTCTTAGTGACGCTCGTGCAGTTCACAGTGAACATTCTTAGTGACGCTCGTGTAGTTCACAGTGAACATTCTTAGTGACGCTCGTGTAGTTCACAGTGAACATTCTTAGTGACGCTCGTGTAGTTCACAGTGAACATTCTTAGTGAGGCTCGTGTAGTTCACAGTGAACATTCTTAGTGACGCTCGTGTAGTTCACAGTGAACATTCTTAGTGAGGCTCGTGTAGTTCCAGTGTGAACATTTTTAGTGACGCTCGTGTAGTTCACAGTGAACATTCTTAGTGACGCTCGTGTTGTTCACAGTGAACATTCTTAGTGAGGCTCGTGTAGTTCACAGTGAACATTTTTAGTGACGCTCGTGTAGTTCACAGTGAACATTCTTAGTGACGCTCGTGCAGTTCACAGTGAACATTCTTAGTGGACGCTCGTGTAGTTCACAGTGAACATTCTTAGTGACGCTCGTGTAGTTCACAGTGACATTCTTAGTGACGCTCGTGTAGTTCACAGTGAACATTCTTAGTGACGCTCGTGTAGTTCACAGTGAACATTCTTAGTGACGCTCGTGTAGTTCACAGTGAACATTCTTAGTGACGCTCGTGTAGTTCACAGTGAACATTCTTAGTGACGCTCGTGTAGTTCACAGTGAACATTCTTAGTGACGCTCGTGTAGTTCACAGTGAACATTCTTAGTGAGGCTCGTGTAGTTCACAGTGAACATTCTTAGTGACGCTCGCGTAGTTCACAGTGAACATTCTTAGTGACGCTCGTGTAGTTCACAGTGAACATTCTTAGTGACGCTCGCGTAGTTCACAGTGAACATTCTTAGTGACGCTCGTATAGTTCACAGTGAACATTCTTAGTGACGCTCGTGTAGTTCACAGTGAACATTCTTAGTGACGCTCGTGAAGTTCACAGTGAACATTCTTAGTGACGCTCGTGTAGTTCACAGTGAACATTCTTAGTGACGCTCGTGTAGTTCACAGTGAACATTCTTAGTGACGCTCGTGTAGTTCACAGTGAACATTCTTAGTGACGCTCGTGTAGTTCACAGTGAACATTCTTAGTGACGCTCGTGTAGTTCACAGTGAACATTCTTAGTGACGCTCGTGTAGTTCACAGTGAACATTCTTAGTGACGCTCGTGTAGTTCAGTGAACATTCTTAGTGACGCTCGTGTAGTTCACAATGAACATTCTTAGTGACGCTCGTGTAGTTCACAGTGAACATTCTTAGTGACGCTCGTGTAGTTCACAATGAACATTCTTAGTGACGCTCGTGTAGTTCACAGTGAACATTCTTAGTGACGCTCGTGTAGTTCACAGTGAACATTCTTAGTGACGCTCGTGTAGTTCACAGTGAACATTCTTAGTGACGCTCGTGTAGTTCACAGTTAACATCCTCAGTGACGCTCGTGTAGTTCACAGTTAACATCCTCAGTGACGCTCGTGTAGTTCACATTTAACATTCTTAGTGACGCTCGTGTAGTTCACAGTTAACATCCTCAGTGACGCTCGTGTAGTTCACAGTGAACATTCTTAGTGACGCTCGTGTAGTTCACAGTTAACATCCTCAGTGACGCTAGTGTAGTTCAAAGTTAACATCCTCAGTGACGCTCGTGTAGTTCACAGTTAACATCCTCAGTGACGCTCGTGTAGTTCACAGTTAACATCCTCAGTGACGCTCGTGTAGTTCACAGTTAACATCCTCAGTGACGCTCGCGTAGTTCACAGTTAACATCCTCAGTGACGCTCGTGTAGTTCACAGTTAACATGCTGGCTTAGTGATCCTCGTGTAGTTCATACATGTTGGCTTAGTGATCCTCGTGTAGTTCATACATGCTGGCTTAGTGATCCTCGTGTAGTTCATACATGCTGGCTTAGTGATCCTCGTGTAGTTCATACATGCTGGCTTAGTGATCCTCGTGTAGTTCATACATGCTGGCTTAGTGATCCTTGTGTAGTTCATACATGTTGGCTTAGTGATCCTCGTGTAGTTCATACATGCTGGCTTAGTGATCCTCGTGTAGTTCATACATGTTGGCTTAGTGATCCTCGTGTAGTTCATACATGCTGGCTTAGTGATCCTCGTGTAGTTCATACATGCTGGCTTAGTGATCCTCGTGTAGTTCATACATGTTGGCTTAGTGTTCCTCGTGTAGTTCATACATGTTGGCTTAGTGATCCTCGTGTAGTTCATACATGTTGGCTTAGTGATCCTCGTGTAGTTCATACATGCTGACTTAGTGATCCTCGTGTAGTTCATACATGTTGGCTTAGTGATCCTCGTGTAGTTCATACATGCTGGCTTAGTGATCCTCGTGTAGTTCATACATGCTGGCTTAGTGATCCTCGTGTAGTTCATACATGTTGGCTTAGTGATCCTCGTGTAGTTCATACATGTTGGCTTAGTGATCTTCCTGTAGTTCATACATGCTGGCTTAGTGATCCTCGTGTAGTTCATACATGCTGGCTTAGTGATCCTCGTGTAGTTCATACATGCTGGCTTAGTGATCCTCGTGTAGTTCATACATGTTGGCTTAGTGATCCTCGTGTAGTTCATACATGTTGGCTTAGTGATCCTCGTGTAGTTCATACATGTTGGCTTAGTGATCCTCGTGTAGTTCATACATGCTGGCTTAGTGATCCTCGTGTAGTTCATACATGCTGGCTTAGTGATCCTCGTGTAGTTCATACATGTTGGCTTAGTGATCCTCGTGTAGTTCATACATGTTAGCTTAGTGATGCTCGTGTAGTTCATACATGCTGGCTTAGTGATGCTCGTGTAGTTCATACATGCTGGGTTAGTGATCCTCGTGTAGTTCATACTTGTTGGGTTAGTGATCCTCGTGTAGTTCATACATGCTGGCTTAGTGATCTTCGTGTAGTTCATACATGCTGGCTTAGTGATCCTCGTGTAGTTCATACATGCTGGGTTAGTGATCCTCGTGTAGTTCATACATGCTGGCTTAGTGATCCTCGTGTTGTTCATGCATGCTGGCTTAGTGATCGTCGTGTAGTTCAT